AATTCAAGATTTATTCTTTTTAGTCTTCAGAAAAAAACCAATTTATTTATTATAATATAGAAATTATACCATCTTGATCTTCATCGTAATCCTCGAATTCATCGTCCTCATCATCCGGTACTTTAATATCCTCTGGTTTTAAATCGAAAGATAGTTCTAATGAGGAATCTGTTGTTAGTCCCTGCTCAAGAACTGACTCAGCAAATGAACGTAATATTTCTTCTGTGGATTCTTTAGTATGGTTGGATACAGGTGTTTCTTCAACAGTTTTTGGGGCGACTTCGTTGTAGAAGTGAAAGGAAATCATTTAATTGTCTTATTACCAATAAATGATAAATAAAAATGAGCAATTGGATTGAATTTCATACATACCTTTTACAACTATTTCCTCAGGTGGAGGAACGCTAACAATGGCATCAATATCTTCTTCCTCGTCGTCTTCAGTTGACGGCATCGAATAATTAAGCGGTGAAGGTAACAAGCTTCGACGAAACGAGTTCTTCATTTTACGAGGGGTTTTAATTTCAGCATTAGGTTCAGGAACTTCATCGTTGGCCTCATCATCAACGGTTTCTTCCTCTTGTAAATGTTTCTGTGTACGTTCCTTGTGTAATTGATCGGCCTTTTCAATGAGACGGGCAACCGCAGGGTCAGTTTTTTGACGTCTATGAGCAGCAGCTAGTCATTGAATAAAAATTTTCCGCCAGAATAGATGAAATCAATTTAAAAACTTCGCGTTTAACTAGAAAATTTCAAATGTTTAACGTGACATTAAAACAGAATAACACCGTTATTTATTTTTTAAACTTACATATGGCAGCTCTTTCCTTTAACCAATTATTTGAGCCGGCATCGTCAGCGATTTTTGTTTTTGTGGTTGCCATTATTAATGAATGGATTTAGAAAGCTGGTAAACTTTTTTTTTCATTCACAGCTCAGGCTGAGTTTTAAATTCGCACGACATATTGGTGCACCTAGTCTCGTCACGGTATCACGTTACTATCACGTTACCAAGACCTGAAATTGGAACATGCGGCACGAATGAACAAAGAATTTTGCAACGCATGTGTAGTCTCATATCAAATCCAACTACATGTGAAACAAAAATTCCAGGAATTAAAAGATATGAATTGATAATTCTTGTACTTCAAAAATTTATCATTATTTATATTTCGCGAATTAACGAAATAAAGGTTTAATGTTTAGCACAGTGGATTGCTAAACCAACATTCAGTCAAATAAATCCATATCAGGGTATGTAATAGTTACAGGAGTCAGGAGTTTGATCAGCTTCGTTGATCACTAAATGGAGTATCTTCCGGCGATTATTTGTTATACTAATTTATATTTTATAAGTTAATGCTAAATCTTTTTACGTACTACGTAATTCGTTATCAATTTGATAAAAATGTTACGTATCAAAATTGTTTATAATTAATTAACTCACGCTAATTATTAAAGTGTATTTTGGCGCATTCAAAATTACCTTGTTAATGCATTTACAAGCACCTTTATGACAGTGTCAAGAATACCTAATGCATATTGTATACGTACGAGATATAAATTTATTTACTATATAATAATAATACTCATTACGTATAAGCTACGTACTGTACGTACGTACATAGCCCCTCCCATATTCTCAAATATGGAATACTTCGATTCTATATATCGATGTAATTAAGAAATAATGATAATGATAAGATACTCCCCTTAAGGATATTACGTAATATTTTGTAAGATTTGCTTAAAGGTTGCTATGAATCAAAAACAATGGTTTTGCAGTGTAACCATTTCTTATACGGGAATATGAGGAACCGGAATGTCCAAAGCCGACCTAAACAATTGCACAATTGCAGAATTTCCCGCTAAAGGCCAGTGTTGATTGGTTGATGGTCATGTGATTGTACCAAGTTTTACGATCCTGAAATTCCAGACCTTTAATCTTTGCATATTCCTGTGTTAACATGTCAGTACAAACACTCGATCACTCTATGCAAGTTTTAATTCATAATTGGGGCTTAATAATCCTTTTTTTGTCTAGTCAAATATAATTTTTTAAAGTAAAATTTTTTTGTTATTCAGGATCCTTACTATCCCTTTTCCAACTCCACGCCTTGCAACAATAGCGCAATCAGTCTTAAATGTTGATAAGGAACTAAAAAGTGATCAAGTTAAAAGAATTATTAGCACAAATGATACTGATCTTATCGTGTAAGTACAAAATTATGTTATTTCAACAACTTTAAGTCTTACCAAAGTTTTTTTCTTTTTTTAATTTATAGGCAGTTTAATTGTTCAAGTGTAAAGATGTTACGAGTTTCTGTAAACTCTTTGTTAGAAATGTTAATCATGGTAACTAAAACTATAGACGCTTTTGACGGAATGGAATGAAAAAGTTTTTTGTCAGAAGACTAAACTAGTGATCTGAATCGATGGGTCAACTATAATCGATGACGTCAACAACTGATTACGATTAGTTGATTATAGTTGACTGCGCAATATTAGACAACGATTGGTTGTATTTATTTAAAAAAAATACTTTTGATTGCATTAAGGCAATAGATATATCTTTTGTTTTAAAATGGTCGATTAATTGATGAGTTGGTTTGCAATCAGTCCCTAAAATTTTGATAGATTGTCGATTCCTATCATTAACTGAACGAATATGATGCGTCGGATCATTTTTATTATAAGGAATTCAAATTACATAATTTCAGCATTCATAAAATTCTGACGCGTATTTAAGTTACCTCCTATGCTAAATCTGCTATCAGGCATCTTGTTGCATCAATAAAGTTTTTTGCAGGTAAAGCTAATTTCCAATTCACGTGTCCAGCACCAAAATAAAATACTGCGGGTTTCAATTCAGTTATAGATTTGGCAATAATTATTGGGAGTTTTTGGTTCATACCTAAGAATGAAATTAAAAAATTAAAAGATTAATAATAACATAGTAATGTAGGAATATAGTTAATTAATAATGACACTTACCAATAGGTGACACCCCATTATTTTCAAATCCGGTCAATTCAATCGATTTCTAGATGATCGAATAATTCAATATATTATATGTAAATTTGAATTTTAAATTTTAAATATACCTCTGCGTCTGCGACGCGAAAATTATAGTTCTTTTTGCTAATGGATTTATTCTTTAATCCGCGAACAAAATTCATTAATTTTTGAGTATTAATGGATCCAATATACTGTTAAAATATTCCAAGATTTATTAATGGCTTGTCGGAAAATGTGAAAGAATACAAAATATTATTCACCTGATCGATTACACAATAATATTTTGAATTTAACGGATCTGTAATAAAGAATGAGCTTAGAATATCAATTTATTCTATCAATTTTCTATGTATTCCTTACCATCAATATTATCGTGTATGCATCTTGTATTCTCAAAGATGACACTTTTACAAAGATGATCAATTGATGGTGCAACTAATCGAAACCTTGTAAAAAGAATAATGGTTATTTTAAACAAAAACATCATTCATTATTTATAACTAATTTACTCACGCACGTCTCTGAAGTTCCCATTCATAATAATCTTCTTCTACTTTATAAAATCTTGAAACATTTCTTATACCTAATTCATTGCATGCTTTTTCGACCTATTCCATTTAAAACATTATTATTTCAAACCAAAGCTATGAATCAATCTAATTCTAAAAGATAAATTTCGAACCAGATATTATTAGCGTTAGATAAATCCGGTTAATGAATTAAGTGTTTCATCTACGTAATTATATTTGGATAAGCAGATGACCAAATCTAACCACTACATCAACAAACTATTAATGTTAAATGCAGTAATGGTAATTAATGAGATTAATGGAAGATACACTACAATTATTAACAAAACAAATATCAGCACTTTATTCTTCACCGAAACTTGAATCTTTTTACCTGGAATACTTTACGCGTAAAGCTAAGAATGCTAAATTAGAAGAGAATGCACCAGAAGTTGTCAAAAAAGTATTTTAAGATTGTATTGGTGTTAAGCTTTTGGTTTTTGAAATAATAATGTTTTAAATGGAATAGGTCGAAAAAGCATGCAATGAATTAGGTATAAGAAATGTTTCAAGATTTTATAAAGTAGAAGAAGATTATTATGAATGGGAACTTCAGAGACGTGCGTGAGTAAATTAGTTATAAATAATGAATGATGTTTTTGTTTAAAATAACCATTATTCTTTTTACAAGGTTTCGATTAGTTGCACCATCAATTGATCATCTTTGTAAAAGTGTCATCTTTGAGAATACAAGATGCATACACGATAATATTGATGGTAAGGAATACATAGAAAATTGATAGAATAAATTGATATTCTAAGCTCATTCTTTATTACAGATCCGTTAAATTCAAAATATTATTGTGTAATCGATCAGGTGAATAATATTTTGTATTCTTTCACATTTTCCGACAAGCCATTAATAAATCTTGGAATATTTTAACAGTATATTGGATCCATTAATACTCAAAAATTAATGAATTTTGTTCGCGGATTAAAGAATAAATCCATTAGCAAAAAGAACTATAATTTTCGCGTCGCAGACGCAGAGGTATATTTAAAATTTAAAATTCAAATTTACATATAATATATTGAATTATTCGATCATCTAGAAATCGATTGAATTGACCGGATTTGAAAATAATGGGGTGTCACCTATTGGTAAGTGTCATTATTAATTAACTATATTCCTACATTACTATGTTATTATTAATCTTTTAATTTTTTAATTTCATTCTTAGGTATGAACCAAAAACTCCCAATAATTATTGCCAAATCTATAACTGAATTGAAACCCGCAGTATTTTATTTTGGTGCTGGACACGTGAATTGGAAATTAGCTTTACCTGCAAAAAACTTTATTGATGCAACAAGATGCCTGATAGCAGATTTAGCATAGGAGGTAACTTAAATACGCGTCAGAATTTTATGAATGCTGAAATTATGTAATTTGAATTCCTTATAATAAAAATGATCCGACGCATCATATTCGTTCAGTTAATGATAGGAATCGACAATCTATCAAAATTTTAGGGACTGATTGCAAACCAACTCATCAATTAATCGACCATTTTAAAACAAAAGATATATCTATTGCCTTAATGCAATCAAAAGTATTTTTTTTAAATAAATACAACCAATCGTTGTCTAATATTGCGCAGTCAACTATAATCAACTAATCGTAATCAGTTGTTGACGTCATCGATTATAGTTGACCCATCGATTCAGATCACTAGTTTAGTCTTCTGACAAAAAACTTTTTCATTCCATTCCGTCAAAAGCGTCTATAGTTTTAGTTACCATGATTAACATTTCTAACAAAGAGTTTACAGAAACTCGTAACATCTTTACACTTGAACAATTAAACTGCCTATAAATTAAAAAAAGAAAAAAACTTTGGTAAGACTTAAAGTTGTTGAAATAACATAATTTTGTACTTACACGATAAGATCAGTATCATTTGTGCTAATAATTCTTTTAACTTGATCACTTTTTAGTTCCTTATCAACATTTAAGACTGATTGCGCTATTGTTGCAAGGCGTGGAGTTGGAAAAGGGATAGTAAGGATCCTGAATAACAAAAAAATTTTACTTTAAAAAATTATATTTGACTAGACAAAAAAAGGATTATTAAGCCCCAATTATGAATTAAAACTTGCATAGAGTGATCGAGTGTTTGTACTGACATGTTAACACAGGAATATGCAAAGATTAAAGGTCTGGAATTTCAGGATCGTAAAACTTGGTACAATCACATGACCATCAACCAATCAACACTGGCCTTTAGCGGGAAATTCTGCAATTGTGCAATTGTTTAGGTCGGCTTTGGACATTCCGGTTCCTCATATTCCCGTATAAGAAATGGTTACACTGCAAAACCATTGTTTTTGATTCATAGCAACCTTTAAGCAAATCTTACAAAATATTACGTAATATCCTTAAGGGGAGTATCTTATCATTATCATTATTTCTTAATTACATCGATATATAGAATCGAAGTATTCCATATTTGAGAATATGGGAGGGGCTATGTACGTACGTACAGTACGTAGCTTATACGTAATGAGTATTATTATTATATAGTAAATAAATTTATATCTCGTACGTATACAATATGCATTAGGTATTCTTGACACTGTCATAAAGGTGCTTGTAAATGCATTAACAAGGTAATTTTGAATGCGCCAAAATACACTTTAATAATTAGCGTGAGTTAATTAATTATAAACAATTTTGATACGTAACATTTTTATCAAATTGATAACGAATTACGTAGTACGTAAAAAGATTTAGCATTAACTTATAAAATATAAATTAGTATAACAAATAATCGCCGGAAGATACTCCATTTAGTGATCAACGAAGCTGATCAAACTCCTGACTCCTGTAACTATTACATACCCTGATATGGATTTATTTGACTGAATGTTGGTTTAGCAATCCACTGTGCTAAACATTAAACCTTTATTTCGTTAATTCGCGAAATATAAATAATGATAAATTTTTGAAGTACAAGAATTATCAATTCATATCTTTTAATTCCTGGAATTTTTGTTTCACATGTAGTTGGATTTGATATGAGACTACACATGCGTTGCAAAATTCTTTGTTCATTCGTGCCGCATGTTCCAATTTCAGGTCTTGGTAACGTGATAGTAACGTGATACCGTGACGAGACTAGGTGCACCAATATGTCGTGCGAATTTAAAACTCAGCCTGAGCTGTGAATGAAAAAAAAAGTTTACCAGCTTTCTAAATCCATTCATTAATAATGGCAACCACAAAAACAAAAATCGCTGACGATGCCGGCTCAAATAATTGGTTAAAGGAAAGAGCTGCCATATGTAAGTTTAAAAAATAAATAACGGTGTTATTCTGTTTTAATGTCACGTTAAACATTTGAAATTTTCTAGTTAAACGCGAAGTTTTTAAATTGATTTCATCTATTCTGGCGGAAAATTTTTATTCAATGACTAGCTGCTGCTCATAGACGTCAAAAAACTGACCCTGCGGTTGCCCGTCTCATTGAAAAGGCCGATCAATTACACAAGGAACGTACACAGAAACATTTACAAGAGGAAGAAACCGTTGATGATGAGGCCAACGATGAAGTTCCTGAACCTAATGCTGAAATTAAAACCCCTCGTAAAATGAAGAACTCGTTTCGTCGAAGCTTGTTACCTTCACCGCTTAATTATTCGATGCCGTCAACTGAAGACGACGAGGAAGAAGATATTGATGCCATTGTTAGCGTTCCTCCACCTGAGGAAATAGTTGTAAAAGGTATGTATGAAATTCAATCCAATTGCTCATTTTTATTTATCATTTATTGGTAATAAGACAATTAAATGATTTCCTTTCACTTCTACAACGAAGTCGCCCCAAAAACTGTTGAAGAAACACCTGTATCCAACCATACTAAAGAATCCACAGAAGAAATATTACGTTCATTTGCTGAGTCAGTTCTTGAGCAGGGACTAACAACAGATTCCTCATTAGAACTATCTTTCGATTTAAAACCAGAGGATATTAAAGTACCGGATGATGAGGACGATGAATTCGAGGATTACGATGAAGATCAAGATGGTATAATTTCTATATTATAATAAATAAATTGGTTTTTTTCTGAAGACTAAAAAGAATAAATCTTGAATT